AGGCGGGGAAGGGCGGCGACGATGAAGCCGTAGGAGATGCAGGTGAGCGCGAAGTCCCCCACGGCCAGGGTGATATCCGCGACGTACACCATCACTTCATTGACCCTCACGGGGCTGCAGGACAGAGCCAGCAGCGGCGGGATCTCGCAGAAGAAGTGGTCGATGGTGTTTGGGCCACAGAAAGTCAGCCTCAGGATGAGACCTGTGTGCACCCAGGAGTTGGTTACTGCGATGGCCATGACGGTGCCGAGCAAGGCCACGCACGTGCAGTGGCTCATGATAGTGCTGTACCGGAGGGGAAAGCAGATGGCCACGTAGCGGTCATAGGCCATGGCAGTGAAGAGAACCATCTCGGCCCCCAGGGACCACGTGAAGAAGAAGAGCTGAGACATGCAGCCCCCGTAGGAGATGGTCTTGCCGGAGGCCAGCATGGTCCCCAGCATCTTGGGCATGATGCTCGTTGTGCAGATGATGTCAACGATGGCGAGTGCCAGGAGGAGGACGTACATGGGGGTGTGCAGGGTGGTGTTGCAGGCGATGGCGACGACAATGAGCATGTTGCCAAGGAAAGCCACAAGGTAGACCAAGAGGAAGATCAGGAAGAGCAGCCCCCGGAGTTCAGGTGTTTTGGCCAGGCCCAGAATTATGAACTCGGTCACCACGCTGTGGTTCATTCTGCTTAGGGACTGAATGGCGGGCCTGGGCAGAATGAACAGCTGAGAGTTAAATGGATCTGTGTGCGGATAAGAGACAGCACGGAGTGTGTGCGCGCGTGTGTGTGTGTGTGTGTGTGTGTGTGTACTCGGGGACGTCATTATTGCTTTTATACCGCTTCACGGCATGGATCCCTCAGGATGGAGTTCTTTCTTCCAGGCAGTATCCTCTGTCCAGAACGATCCCATTCTCAGGCTGGTGTTCTTCCACAGCCATCACGGGGAAACTACGCCAGAGATCAGGAAGGAAAGTATAGGCAAAAGGAATTCCGTCAATATGTTAATATTATCTCTTGACTTGAAAATTGCCTGGGTATAGGTTCCTTCTCTCTCTACATGCACACACATATCCAATGGAAATAGATATGAATAATTAGAAATCTTAATCACTCAGTTAATTGCATGGTATTTTCGGGTGTCTTCATTGAGCCATATCTGACTAATAATATTTGGGACAATAGAAGCTGACAGGACTAAATGTAGCGGAAGCATTTCAAGGGGGAGATGCCCACACTAACATTGCGGAGCTGTGTATTCACTGACTGATATATCGTAGTACAGATACACAACATTTTAGTCAATGACTGCGCTTACATTTTTCTATAATTTGATGAGTACTTTGCTAAAATAGAGTGAAATAATTATTTGCTTGTTTTCATATATGGTAAGAATATTGAATTTGGGTCCAGCAGTTGGCATGGTGGTTAAGACGCTAAACTCCCCCATAGCGTAATGTGTTTCCAGTCCCAGACCTGGTTATGTTGCTTCCTCTCTCTCTCTCTCACTCTGGTCAAATTAAATAATTATAATAATAAATAAAAGTAAATGAAATATTCCTTTAAAAAACAATATTGGATTAAAAATTATATGATCTTTTTGTGTCTTCATTTAATTATCGCTGCAAATGGGCTGTTTGAACACCATAAGTTTCAGATACCATACATCTAAAAAGTAGATAAATTAAGATAAATTAGGTATTCTATATTCAGAACCAATGTTTCTTAGCACATGACGAAGAGTCAGCTAAAACGTTCTCAGCAGTTACCAGGGCCTGGGGAAGACTGCTCCTGATTTTCCGCAAAGATCTGAACACCCGACTGGTCTTCTTACACTGGGATGGGTTTGCTTTGACTGTTCAGGTGGTTACTACGCACAGCCTGCTTTCGGCCTGTTCTGGTCCAGTGACGTCAGTACATTGCTGGAAGTACACGTGTCTTTACACGCAATTTCATATTTATCATTCTTTAACTTTTCTGAGATCATATTTTGTCTCTGATATCTGGAGAGGCTTACGTAAAAATTAATTCTGAGTGTGGGTCCACGAACATAGGTGGGATTGCTCCTTCAGCCCCTCTAGCCTCAACTGATAATCTGCAATCTAAGTGTAATCTGCTCACGCACCAGGGAGCTCTCAGATCAGAACAAAGACAACTGAGAAACAGAAGTCTCACTTTCATGTGATCCATGATCTACGTTAAGAATCCCTGTCTCAGCACTCATGTTACCAGATCTCATCACTGGGCTCCAGTCCGTGTTAGGGCCTCTGCCAGATGCCATTCTGTCCTCACGGCCAAGTCGGTCCCTGTTTACTGTCTCACATAGTGCTACCGAACACAGCAGTAGCCAGAAAACAACATGTCTCATGAGAAGAATTAGGATTGTTTCACTCCAGAAAAATTGCTATCAACTTCTCTGTTATGTGTTTTAAGGCAAAGCACAGAAAAGTACGGGAAATATATGAAAAGATTAAATGAAATAAGAGTAATAAAAAAGGAGAAGGAATTTGTATTGTGAATGAAATACAATTTTGAGCAGGAAAATATGGAGAAAATAGTTGATATTTAAAATTTAATTCAAATATTATGAAGATCTGGTATTTATTTATTTATTTATTTATTTTTGGAGAGGTTTTTGCTATAGGGTGTATGCACTTGCCAGCCAGACAGAGAGAGAAAGAAAGAAAGAGAGAAAGAAAGAAAGCGAGAAATCACCCTCCAGGGGGGATGGCCACGCCGCAATCCCTTCTCCTCCATTCTCCTCTCGGGATCTTGGGCACACACGCACATGCGCCTGGCGTGAGTTTTAAGCCACCGGGTCCGGGACACGAACCTCAGTCGACTACATGGGAGTCCAGCAACATAGCCATTATGCTAACTGCTGGTCCCAAGATCTGGTATTTAAATGATACTACCTAGCATCTAAACACTAAGTGTTAAATGTGTTTTTAATGATAGGAAGTACTAGTTTGGTTATTTCGTCTATTTTATTTATTTTTTACTATAATTTCAGTCTACACACAATAGTAGCCAAGATTTGGAATCTACCTAAGTGTTCATCAGCTGATGAACAGATAATGAAACTGTGGTAAAGAGAACACAGAATCTTACAGAAAAGAGTATTATTTAGACGCAAAAAAGGATCAAGCTTCATCATTGGAGGCAAGATGGAAGGACTGGGAAGAAAAACTATGCCAAGAGGAACAAGCCAGACACTGGAAGTTAAGTGGCACTTTCAGCTTTTTTCATTGTTTAAGAAACTTGTTTTTATTTATTTATTCAATTTTATTTATTCATTAATTTATCTTAATTTGACCAGAAGGAGACAGGGTGAGAGAGAAGGGGAAAGTGCGAAAGCAAGCCACCAGGTCCAACTGGAACCTCTGCAGGCCCTTTGGGAGTGTCCAGCACGGGAAGCAGAGCGCCACCTAGTGGATGTTCTAACAGAAATGTTTCTTGGGTTTAATCTACAAGACATCAGACCTTATTTGGCTAACGATCTCCCCAACAACTGTAGATGAAATAGAAGCTGTACCTTCATGGCTGAAGAAAAGAAAGCTTTGATTTTCCATAGGACAATTTTTAATTAATGCTGTAAATAATGCAATTTATCAATGCCACTTATCTGTCACTGATCAGGCCCTGTAGAGGTGGGCATAGGGAAAAGATTCCAATCCCAGAATAGTAAGCCACGTTTCACAAAATGCTAAGTTCACAAGGAGGTAGGAGAGCGCTCGTCTTTTCCACGTCTCTAAGAACTTTCCACGTCTCTAAGAACAGCAGGGAGAAGCCGAGGTTCCGGGCCTCCCTTCACTGGGACACCCTGTGGCTTCCCCAGGACCTGGGGGCTCTGTCCTCATTGCTGGTTCCCAGAGGCAGACCAGATAGGGACAGAGCAGGTGTGTGCCCCTCCCACGGGTGCACACAGGGCAGGCCAGGGTCTTGGGCTCTGTAGACGAGGTCAGGCTCGTCTGGATTTTGCTCTGGACCTCATAAAGCCACAGGACGTGAGAAGAGGGCCTGCCCGGAGCAGCCGTTTTCTCGGGTCTCAGCCCATCCTCTCCTGGCCATCCTTTCTTCGACTCCTCGGCCTGAATCTGTGGTCTCTCTTTAGCTGTTACGTTTAATTTGACTTAAGCTTTCCGTTCATAAAAATTCTGAGGCAAGAAAACTCACAGACATTTATTTAGAACCATGGTACTCCACGTGGCTCAGGCTTACCCTGGAACTTTCTGTCTGTGCCTCGTCCTTTCTAATGTACCTTCTTCAAGTCTCTCGGTAGCAGCAGAAGCCTCACTGAGCGGCTCTGAGGGTTTGACATGGAATGGAACCGTGCCTCAGCCTGGGATAGTCCGGCTGTCAGTACAAGGTGGTAATAATTACGACTTAGAATTCCAAACATAGCGCCTGGAATATTTGTATGTTTTAGTATGTAGATTTTTATCATTACACATGAGGAATGTTTCATCATTTAATGGAAGAAAGCATTTTCAAAAATGAATTTGAAATGATCAAATGAAATTATAAGAATACAAAGATTTGATTAGGACCATAAAAGGAAATTCAACTATTCATTCTAATTTCAATGAAGATGCTTTATTTAAAAATATTTAAAGGTAACAATTGTAACAATTCCTATGTATTATAGTACACTACAATGATGTAAAAGTGTATCACCTATGTCAGAGTTAATAAAGCAACATGTATGAGAGCGTGGGGAAGTCACCGGAGGGACCAAACAGCTTGTCCCATGCCGAAGCACACTTCATGTGGTCGTGGATAGGCCTGGGGCACACACCAAATACACGGGTGTCGTGTCTCAAACCTGAACACTCACGGTTGCTATCGTTTATTCAGTCAATGTCTCTTTACATGCACTTTCACATTTAACAAAAAAGAATTCTTCATTTAATTTAATTCGTTATTATTATTTCAATTTGACCAGACAGAGAAAGAGAAAGTGAGAAAGCAAGCCATCAGGTGTGGGACTTGAACCGTGGACGACCATGTGGGAGTCTACTGCCTGTTCTTCCACTCTCCTGAATGTCTTCCCCCATAAGAACCTTATTTCTCCTCATAAAAGAACTCTACTCCATGCAAGTGTTGCATTGCCTTCAAACGCAAGCACTTTTTGAGGAATGTGAAGGGACAGGGAAGAGAAGAGAGGAAATGAATTCTGAGAAAACTCAGGACATGCAGACTAAGGGTGAGGGACAGTGTACCCCTGTGGGCAGGTGGTTCTGGGAGGGGCTACAGCTCTGCACACAGAGGGACATCCTGCTATTGAGGTGTGACAATGGAGGCTCTGCTGGGATTAGCTGAGTAATTCTGGTCAAAGGTCCTGAGGGAGGGAGTAGCCTGCGGAGGGCCCCAGTCTCACAGCACAGGGAGGGCAGGGAGGAGGACGTCCCTAGGGAGACTTTGGGTCTTCCACTCTGGGCTAAGAGCATCTGCAGCAGCCCAGGCTGGTGTGTAAACGCCGCAGTGTAATGAGGAACCAGGTGGGGAAGAAGAGTCCACGCCTTCTGCAGATGGAGGCCCTGCCCTGGGTAGCTCCTTTAACGGGGCTCCTTTACCGGGGGCTCGTGAGTGTGTGGGGACTAGCCTCTGCCCGGGCAAGTTCTGGCCCCAAAGCCCAGGTCCTGGGATCCCTCAGACCCAGCACCTGGGACAGCTGGGCCCACA